GCCCAACCGCCGAACTGGGGGGGCATTGGGGGGGGGGGGGCAGCATGCTCCCCGGCAGAGCCAGAAGTACCTCTGGTCCTACTTCCGGGTTCGCCGCTGAGCACATGGAGGCCCCCCACACTCCTGCGGGATGCTCCATCCACCCCAGCATTGCAGCAATCACCTACTACCTCGAGGTACATAGAAAAAACTTTTAAACCTGTTTCTATGTCCGAATTGCTGATTCTCCAAATGGGTATCAAATCTTCAGATTTGGATTTGGCTGAATCTAATCAGGGACAGTGATCCAAATCAACAAATCGAATCACTGTCCCTGATTCAGGCTGAATCTAAATCAAATAGGGCCCGCTTTGTGCACCCCTACTATATAATACTATATACTATATAACACTTTACTATAATAATTTCTTTTCTGCCCCCAAGGTGCACTCTATTCCCATGGCCCTCTTTTAACATCTTCCTGAAGTTACTGCTGACATAGTTGTAGTGGGCAGCCAGGGGCCTCTTCCCTCAGCTCTCCCCAGTTTCTTCCCAGCCAACATGATTCACACAGAAGGGAGACTGATGGATGTGAAGAATAGCAGTAAGGGAAGAAAAAAAAAAAGAAAAAACAATGAAGCCGTAGCAACCCAATACAGGAGCAGAAAGTAATAACTACTCCCATTATCCTCCTTTACTCCCAGTTGCCTTGGTCAGGCTCAGGGACCCAATACATAGGGTATATACATGGAACAGACCTCACCATGCTCAGCTGCTGGCAAGGAAGCACTGAATATCTCAATATGGATAAAGCTTGTGTTCTCCTTATCCATGAGACAATTCTACCACCCTCAGGGTATGTATTAGCAAACTAGAAAGTGAAATGATGCCCAGAACAGTCAGTCCAATACTTGCTCTGAGCAGAATCCCACTGGGAGATTATCAGAAGCTTTTATTTCATTTATTCACTATTACTATAGAGCCTAGAAGTCTAGTCCTGGATCAGGATATCACTATGTTAGCCACTAAACAAACAGAGGATTGTAAGGTCCCTGGCTCAAGTAGATAAGGGAAGACAGGTAGATACAGGGCATGTCTACACTAGATGCAAATGCATGTAGCAAATTAACTGCTGAGTAATTACTATGCAGTAAGGCACATGTAGATGGCTGACCAGGAACAAATTTGCTCCTGATCAGCCGGCAGCAGAGAGCAGGAGATTGCTCCCTGCCCTCGGGAGCTGCTTGCGGCTGGAGCAGGTCCTCCACCAGAGCCCACATGGGGAGAATATCCTTCTGCCCTGGCAGCATGGAGCTCCCAGACCCTGCTCCATGATCATGATCATGGAACAGGGGCAAGAAGATTGCTCGCTGCCCCAGCCGTGCAATTGCAGAGCGGGAGTAAGGAGAGTACTCCCAGCCCCAGCTCCATTATCGTGGAACAGGGGAAGAAGCAATCTCCCTGCCCCCACTCTGCATTCATGGAGGTGGGTCTGGGAGCAATCTCACAGCCCACATTCTGTGATCATGGAGCTGGGGCTGGGAGCTCCCTGCATGGGGAGAGTTCCCCACCCAGCCAGGAGCTTGCTGGGACCTGCCCCTAACCAGGACAGTTCCTTGCCAGCTCCAGGCTGCTCAAGGAAGTCTGCACATGCAGCCTGGAGCTGGCTGGGGATGCTCCCATTTCAGGCAGTCTCCAGCCAGCTCGGGGCTTCATGTGCAGACTTCCCTGAGCAGCCTGGAACTGGCTGGGGACTGTCCTGGTCAGAGGCAGGTTCCAGCCCTGCAGCTAACAGCAAGCTCCCAGCTGGGCAGGGAATCCCTGCCCAACCAGGGTCTCCCTGCTAGCTGCCCCACCAGTGGATCAGGGCAGGGGGCTGGGACCTGCCCCTTCCCTACAGCTCTTTCCAAGTTCTCTGCCCCTGATCAGGGAGCTGGGACCAGGATCTCCCTGCTGCTGGGGCAGGGAGACATTGTCCCTACGCAGGCTCCACCACCAGAGCCTGCCCCAGCAGCAGGCAGATCCTGGGGATAGGGAGAAATCTCTCAGCTCCCAAACAGGAGACAGCTCCCTGCCAGCCCCTAGGCTAGCACCAAGAGGAGACTAGAGCTCCCCCTGGTGGCTGCAGGGTGCCAATGCAGGGCCAGAGGGTACAGAAGTAGACTGCTGCCAGGAGCAGCAAATCTGCTCCCAA